CTTTTCTTTGAACAAAGAAAATCTGTTCTACTTGATGTCAGAGCTGTACTGGAGGGTCAGGATCTCTCTGGGGGTCAGACTAGGTTCTGGTTGTATTATCAGAAAGGGCGGCTAGGACAACCCTGTAGGCCAAATGTAATGGTGGTTGAGGATCTTGTTCCTACCATATATATGTCCCCTCCATCCTGCCCTGCAGACGTCATGGTCTCTCGCTCTGTGGGACTCTGGCTCAGGAACAAAGAGGTCCCTTCAGACTTCCTCCCAGCTGGAATCACCAGACAGTCACAGAACTCATGGCAAAAAACTTCAAAAATGATGCCATGAAAAATGGGGTTTCCTACCTGAGATATGTATTTCCAGGGGTTCACTGGATTCTGACCATTTCTGTGGGTCTGTCTTGTTATAGCCATAACATCTGAAGTTCTCTTGCTGCTGGAAATCAAAGAACCCAAAGTGAACAGAGACTGGGATTTCCATAGAGGTGAATTCTGTGAGTCCAAGGACATGGAGAGATTCTGTTCTCCTTCTTCAGTCAGAATGAGCCTGTCATATCCTTCTTGTGACACACAATGGAGGGTCAGGTTCTGTATTGAGGTCACCACAGGGGTGGGCAGAGCCAGCAGCTGTGGTTTACTGTTGTAGATTCCTAGGACAGAACAAGGCAGCATGCTAATGAACTCTCATCTCCCCCATTATCTCCTAGGGCTGGATGGTGAGAACAGGCAGTGTATGATCAGGCCGCTTTTCCTGAGGCCAAGCCTGGGTATGGGAACCTCACCTATGATCACCACCTCCAGTGTGCCACTACACAGTGTAGCCTGCAGGTCTGTAATAGTAATAACAATATCACTCTCCATATTGCTCTCACAATGGAAGGAAGAAGGGCCTAATTCCTAGGCTCCAGTGGGGTCTATGGGTTCCACAGGACTGGGATTCCTTCTTTATGCAGATCATCTATTTGTACCTCCATGGCCCCCTGACACCAGATGGTCACCTTGAGGTGACCACAGAGAATGGTTCAACCCAGATGGTGGGTTTTTGGAGGGTCCCTGCAAGGAATTAGGTGAGGAGGAGGGGTCTGTTTAATGGTGACACAGTGAAGATCACACTTAGATATGACATTTAAGCAGGATCCTGAATTTCAGGAGGAACAGGGAAGCCATGAGACTGATCTTGCTCTTGGACTCCTGGGTTTTGCTCTCATTCTCTACCTTGGATTTTGTGTCTTGGGGTCACCGTGTCCCATACCCAGTGTCAGTGGTGTCCAGAGCCCTCTCTCCACTCACACTTCATACGGGAGGGTGGCACCTGGGAACCAAAGTCAGGTAATTCTTGGGCAAGGTCTGGGACTCCTGAACTGAGTCCATGAGCTCCAGGAGGTTACTGGGGTCTCTCCAGACCTTGGTTCCTCAGGTGAGAAACATAGCATCTGATCCTCCATCTGGCTGAGTGTCACAGAGCATGCAGAGAACAGGGTCTGTGACTGCCCAGTAGACTGTATATACTGTGAGTTCAGGGTCCAGGAGATGGCCTGTGGTCCCACCTTATTGAGACTGACTTTCTTACTGCTTCCCTGAGACACACTGGAGGAAGATAATCCCTCCTTTAATGACTACGGCCCTGTGCCAGCCTTTGCCACTGAGTTTGCTTGTATATAATCTTAGGAGAAGAGGCAGGGTGGTAAATGGACTCTCACAGCCCACACTGTCTACCTGGCTAGGCTGTGAGGGAGGACGTCTCTGAAAGCAGACTCCTTTCGTGAGAGTGAGGCCTAGGGTTGGACCCCTGAGTGTCTTCTCAACTGTCACCACCAGCTCCAGTGAGTCACTGTGCTCTGACTGGCCAGCACGGGTTCTGTAGGAACAGTCATATAGGCCTGCATGTTGCCTTTCAATGGATGGGATGAACCAATGTGCCCTGTTCCCAGGGTACAGTGGGGTTTGTTGCTACCAGGAATCTTTTTGTCCTCCTTTATCAAGATAGTATTCCAAGGCCCCTGTCGTAACCTCACATGAGATAGTCAACTGGGTCCCTTGGGGACAATAGAGCCTGGCAAACAACCAAGCACTCAAACAGAAAAAACAAGCAAGTTCTGACTGCAGAGTTTATTCAGAATTTTCATTACAAGAATATTTAAGGTGGCATGCCCACTCTCTGTCAGGGTAGCAGCACCCCTGCCCCAGCGTCTGATGACTTTCTGTGACCTGTGTGCTCAGTATGTCACATGAACATCGTATTCCTTCCCAATTAACTTCATTTGTACTTGTCTCTGACACGATCACATGGTGAAATGCTCCTTGGAAATCATTCAGACCTGCACTTGGGGCTTTGAGCTCAGTCATATTCATCCTCCACACAGGCATCAGTCCCAGGAGGAAGAGGCCCTGCCACCTACTGATGGAATAATCTCCATGTGACATACTTGCCTTAGAGGATGGAGGCGTCATTACATGGCATCACATCAGTGCTCCCTGATGTCCCTGACTCACATCTTCACCACAGTAGTACAGCTTGTCTGTGTTGGAAAGCCCCTCAGCAGGAGTGTGACCATACCTGTCTTCCATCCTTGTCCTGTGGTCACCTCATTTATGGTTCACTGTTCGTGCATCACAGTCACTGAGCACACAACACTGATGGGATAATCCTGTCATCCTACATGTCTATCAGAGCCCATCCCTCTGAAGATTGCTCCTCTTGCTGCACAGGAACAGGCTCATTGTGGGAAACAGTTTTCTCTCTTGTCATCCATCCTTAGTGTTGAGCAGATTCTATGTGTCTGGGTCTTGAGGGTGGGGCTCTCTGGGTTTTTGTGTGATTTATACCTTGGCAGGCACAGGGCACCTTCAGTGTTTGGTTGGTTCAGGCCCTGAGTGATTTCCTGTCCCTCTCCCAGGGACTGTAGAGCCAGATGATTTTTTGCTTTCATCATGAGAAGTCTAGCAAGCCACCACAGTCCAGAGTCTCACTTCCTTAATTCCCAGCACTATGGGAATGAGCAAATGCAAAGTCTCTTACCAGTTTCTTAGGAAAGTCCATCATGGCCAGGGACTGCAGAGTTATGGCCCATCATCAGTTGTTCCTCTTTCTACACTGAGCTCAAGTTGTTTCATATTGCAGATGAACGGCTACATAGGGTCTCAGATAAAGCTGCTCTTCCCCATGAGATCAGATTCCATTTTCAATGTTGGGGATTTGTCCCAGGGACATGAGGGACATTCCCAGTAACTACCCCTCAGTGACATTTCCAGACTGTTTCCCATGACCAAGGCTTACTGGCTGAGTCTCAGACTGTGATTTGCTGTGTCCTGGAATCCAGCGGTCATTGAAAAAATGTTGTTCTGTTGAGTAAGATGCTCCAGCCTGGGCTTCACATTGGGGTCTCTCTTGTTCTGCCTTAAGTCAAGAAGTAGTATTTTGTTTGGTAAAGTTGAATATGAGGTCCTCTGTGTATTCCATAGGACATCTACATCCCGTGGTTCACAAGTGCTGCATCTCGAGTGTTTAGATCCTTGCCAGGTCACACGATGTTTCCTGTCTGTTCAGGGAGCAATGTCGAAGGTGAGGAGAAGAGCTGCAGGGTGGGTAACACAGCAGTTTCGCTGGACAGGGAGTCCAGAGACCAGCGACCTTATCCTGGGCCATGCATGAAGGTCCTGCATTATCAAAGGCCCCAGAGAGTGCCAAGGGAACCCAGAGCTGAGAGATCAGGCTGTGGTTACCCTTGAGAAACCCCCTATCCTTACCCTAAATTGAATGCTACCACAGTCATGGAAAGTTCATGTTCAATACTTCCTTCAGCTCATCCCAAATGAACCTGATCACTCACCAGCATGTCCAGCAGATGTTCTATGAGTTATAGGTATGGTGGTGTGCACAGATCTCTGGAGGTCCGTCATATGGCACACATGCATTGTGTTTCTCCTGTGATTTCATTTCTTTACTCCCACTTGTACTCCAGTGTGAAAACAACATCACTACACCACACACTGAAAACCTGCCATGAGGATGTGTCCTAATTGTTCTCAGTTTAGGAAACAAAGTGAACACAAACCATTTTATCTGTGTTAATGATGGAGGTGTCAATTACATAGATTTTGATACTAGTTTTAGAATGTAGATGTGTATGAGATTCATCAAGTTGCACAGCTGAAAATATGCTTTATTTATCTATCAGGACTAGGGTCTGCTTTGCTCAGCGTGAACCTTGCTTCTGGGGCAGAGAGTCTGTATCATCAACAGAGTAATGACACAGGGAATTGTGCCTTTCACAACAAATGATTTATTTTGAAATTTAGTGGGTTTTTATACATTATAAACAACTGGCAATCATGTGTGGTTTGTTAGTCACATAGAAAGATTTAGAGAACAAAGAAACAGGACATACAGCCTTTCAGATGGCATCAGCAGGATACTTGTAGTTTACTCAAGTTTACAAATTTCTCTCTGGCAATTTATCGGTCTGAGTGTTTTTTACTTAGGGCAAAAGCCTAGCAAACTTTTGTATTTTACCTCTGTAGTAAACCTTTAACCCTGACCAGTCTCTTAGCTAATTATTGCTGAGTTATTTGTTCAGGACAGGGAGATGAGCTAAGGGGTGTTGACCAAGATGCCTTCCCACAGAGCAAGGATCCTAAACTTTTCTCTTGCTAGCCCTGAAGTGTTCTACAAGACAGGGATATCAGAGCTGCTGTTTTGAGTGACTCTCTCTTTTTCAGGTAACATAGCCTGGACTTACAAAATTTTAGGCTCATCCTACTCTAGGGCATGCAATCCTGGTTTCCTACATCTCCTCCCTTTTTTAAAAAAAATAAGAAGGAAGTGGTCATAGATGCACAGTATTGCTGATTGAAACTATAATATAGAGCATCACTATTTGTGCTTCTACAACAAGTATGCCAATCAATATTGGGCCGTAGAATGGGCCCAAGAATGGAGTAAGCCATTGGAGCCACTTTGGCCAAGCTATATTCAGACATCTTACCAATTTCCTTTTGTAAATCATTAATCTGTTGGTCTATAGTATGTGAAAAATCAGACAAATTAAAACAACACGTTCCTGGAAATTGTCACATCCCCTGTCATTTTTTAACAGTAAATAATCTATAGTAGCTCTATTGTGTAACACAGGAGTTCTTAGTTCTCTAATTACCTGATTAATTTCCCCTAGTATTTTTGCACTTATATTTGCTGTTTTACTAGTTATTCATGCAAGTTGAGATATCTCCTTTTGCATTCCAGTTACCAAGCCTGGTATTAATCAGTGGTTACAGTGAAGACCGTTCAAAGGATTAGATCAGCAAAAGTGGCACAGCTACTTTTGTGGGGACCAGGGAGAGCTATGAAAGCTGGGCTGGGCTGTCCTTGGTCCCCACTCCTGGGGTTGTAGAACAAAGAAGCTGTTTTGGGAAACTTTAACTGAGGAGTTCTCGTCTAGCATGGAGCAGGAATGTATTCTAAATTAGTCCCTGGTAGGGGCTTTCACAGTCATATAGGCTGCTCATTCAGGGGATTCTGTAAACACTTTTGGAGACAACAGTTAATTATACATAGGTCAAGGATGGGATGGGAAGACAAGCTGCTCAGTTCAGTCCTCATTTCAGGTGTCCAGGTCCATGGAGTTCTGAGGTCTCATTCTCTGCTTTCTCCAGGGTCAGTGTGGCCATCTTTGCTGTGGGTGGCTTGGTTGAACTGTCTGATGGATCGAGTGGTTCCCATCCAGGGGAGGACTCATTTTCTGGAAAGACACAAGCATACCATCTTCCCACTGTTAGTAAAGGAGCTTGAGTTTTACTCTAGAGATCTGGTTCATGGTCCCTCCAAAGCACTCGTGGCAATGGCTAGGGACAGTTAGTCCCTTCCAGTGCTTGGCCTTTGGGGAAATTCCTTAATCATTTGGCATAAAAATGTTAGTAAAGACCTGTGTAATAAGAAATGAGGATTCTTGCCAGACGTGGTGGGACACACCTTTAATCCCAGCACTTGGGAAGCAGAGGCAGGTGGATCTTTATGAGTTCGAGGCCAGCGTGGTCTACATAGTGAGCTCTAGGGCAGCTGTGACTACGAGGAGACCCTGTCTCAAAAAATACAAAAAAAAAAGAAAAAAAAGAAATAATGATTCTCTTCTCCCAGGTATAAGTGATTCCCCCATTTTTATTTTATTTCATCTTTGAGACTTTTGTGTTGACTCTCTATTACTGCTTGTTCTGTGGGGTTGTAAGGAATGCCAGTGGTATGTGAAATACCCTGTTTGGCAAAATTGTTAAAAAATTTTACTAGCATAAGAATGCCCATTATCTGTTTGGCAAAATTGTTAAAATATTTTACTAGCATACGAATGCCCATTATCTGTTTTTATTTGATCAGGTATTCCTAAAATTGAAAATGTTTGAATAAGATATCTAAATAAATTTTTTGTTGTCTCTCCTGTATGAGCCATGGCATTTTAAGCAAAGGAATAAGTATCTACTGTACAGAGAACAAACTTCCGATTTCCAAACTCAGTTAAATGAGTTATATCAGTTGGCAAATGATATTGGGAAGTTGGCTATGAGGACTGACTGTAGACATCAGACCTAACGAAGAAGTGGAGCACATTGAGGACATTGTTTAACTATAAATTTTGCTTGATTCTTAATAAGATGAGGATATAAAGCTTTTAACATTTTGACTGGCTGATGAAGGAGTTGGTGCCTGCATAGGGGAGTTGTAATATTTAATTGTTTGGTTAGGTTATTTGTTTGTTGGTTTAAGGAAGCTAATGGACCAGAGAGTCCAATATTGGAGTTTATATGAGTCACTAAAGATGGGTGCTCTCTTTGGCGAATTTTATTTTTTAGAGATAAGAATAACATTCCAATAGGTTCTCCAGGTTTTTTGTTGTAAAAATGTTATTTCTAATTTTAAAAGTGCCTGGGTGGCATATTCAGGCTTTCTATAGATATTTAAAGGTTGAGGAAAGAGTATAAAGCTCTTGAGAACAGCATAAATTTCTAAATATTGTGCAGAAGCAGGAACAGGCTTTGACCAACAAATGTTTTGTTTTCTTTGAAGCTGTTGTAAAGTAGTAGCTTTTTTTTTTTAATTTGTTCGTTCCATTTATTTTAACAGAACGTCTGCCCCTGGGAGAGGTGACTGTGAAGTGATAGTGGAGGTTGGGACAGGGTGTCATATCATGTATGTATAGTCAGGAAACAAACTGCTTCCAAATCAAACCAAGCTCACCAAACAGAACTGTTTTCTTTGGACTGTCCTATCTGGTTCCAGGAGGCAAAATTCCTAGTTTTGGGTTAAATTATTTTGTTATGGGTAAGGGAAACCATAAAAGTAAAATTTGTATAATATAGGGAAATGCAAAAGGACATTCTTTAGTAGTTGTCAGAAACTTTAACACTTGTTTGCAACCTTAATTCCATACTGTGAATAGATATCTAGCACAAGTCAGAGAAGTAGAGTGAAAAAAATTGTTTTTTGCTGTAACAGTAATTTTTATAACAACAACAACCACCTTGTACTTCTATGAAACTAAATAGATCTTTAACAAGCTTGCTTAAACATTCCTAGTGTTCCTTCCATTCTGAAAATATCCAGCCATCTTAATCGTACTAACTTTGACCTTCCAATTCTTTATGTTTTCTTAAACATGCTCATTAATTTTTTGATATGCAGAGGCATAACATTTATAATCAAATCCATGATTTGTTGTGAGAATACAACAAGCAACCAATATTTAGTCCTTCTTACCTATAGACAAAGAAACAACCATTTTAAACATACCAGTATAATATAAACTTGGTAAAGTCATGGAACTTGATGTATTTGTTTATTGGCTAAAAAGAGACCAGAGAAGTAAAATGGTTAAGATTTTTCCTGGAGTAGAAGTAACTATTACTTAAAATTAGGACACTTTTTAAGCAATAAGAACCACATTATAGAAGAAGAATTAAGTATTAAAAAGGAAAAATTTTCACTCAGAAAAAATATTTTTAAGGACTATACGTTTATATAGACTGGATACAAACAAAATGGATACTTTAAAACCTTTTGAGAATAAACCAGAACCAAAAAGGCTCTCAGCAAATATGATTTTTTATGTAACCCAAGACCTAGAGGCACTGTTGAATAGATTTCACAATGATCAGGGTACACAATTTTAAAATGCCTTGGAATGCAAATTTTTACCTGTGTATTTTAATTAGGTATGCCAAAAGTAAAACCAATAACTTTGTGCACAATAAAAGGAATGAAAAAGGAAAACTTTGAAGTGACCACATTTTAAAATTGTCTTTACACAAATGATATATAAGGACAAATATCATAGACAATTCTGACAGACTTACATTAAATTTCAGCACATAGAAACATACAGAAACATCTAATATAATTTTCAACAACATAAAAATGATTGTCAGGTATATATGATACAATTCCATGAAAATTAGGTGTACCTAAAATGCATTACCTAATAAGTGTGATTATGATGAATTTTGTAAGATCTTCTGAAAGCAGGTATAGCTGGACTCAAGAAGAAAGCAGCAGTTTGGCTTTAGAAGAGAGTGCTTCATACCATTATTTTACTAAAAGATCATAGAATCTGATAAAAACATAAAAGATAAGGTAATTACTTAACATAACCTGTGTTTACATTGAATTGTAGAGTCAGGTGAACTTAGTAAGCTAAAACTTCAAGGTGGCAGTTTCTCAGAAAATAGAAAAACTGGAAATGAATTTGTAGTGAGTGGAAGAACTTAAAACATTTTTTTAAATATAAAGACAACAAAGAGCTAAACAAAATAAAACTAGCAGAGAGGAATAGAATTTGAAGGGACAGGAAAAATAATGAAGTTCAGGTGTTAGGAATGGTTGTAATTTTTCTGAAAGAGAAGAACAAAAGCTGTAGGGGCTACAGGCAGCTTCAAAGCTGGGGTGTGGCAGCATTGGCAGAGGCCTGTGGCATGAGAGTGTGCAGGTGGCTGCACCAGCAGCAGGAGACAGTGCACACTGATGGGCTGCCCTCAGGAATGTGAACTCTGCTAGCATGATCTGGCAGGAATTGTAGGGACCCTTTGGAGCATCCCAGAAAACAGACTTGGAGGGAGGTGGAGGTGAAAGAAATTGAGCCCTGGGAGAACAAGGAGGCATGGGGGAGCAGAAGAAGGGGAGGAAGAGAGAGAGTTGGTGTATTCTACAGCTGGAGGAATGGGAGGAGGGGACTCTGTGGGGGGAAGCAACTCTTCTTTATCTTAATGAGAGGAAGGCAAACAACCAGTGGGTGCTCCTCATTTGTGACAGCAGCACTGTCCAGTTTTTATTCCTCTTTTCCATGTTTCTAAACTACTGGTTCCTTCTTTCAGGAATGGTGCATTGCAATTCTATATACTATCTAAAAAGGCCTTATTCTGAGCTCCTGTACATTTAATACCTCTAGACTTTAGCATGCATTTAAGAATAGGTTGAAAGTGAAACTGGTCATGAGAAAGTGATTACCAATAACTATGACTACCCCTTACCTATAAACCAGCTGTGACAAGAGGATCCAACCAGCCTAACAGGGGAGGTTGGCTCTGTCCTCAGCAGAGGTCCCAGAAAGTCTCTGTACCTGGCACCAGTTATCAGGACTTGGGTTTGCTTTGCTCAGCAGCAATACTGCTTCTGGGGTAGAGAGATTGTACAGGGAACAGAATAAATACTCTGGGACTTGTGCTATTCACAACAAGCTATTTATTACAAAATTCAGAGGGTTTTTATACACCATAAGAAACTGGCAGTCATGTGTTGGCAGTCACATACAATGATTTACGGTGCAAAGAAACAGGACATATAGCCTTTCAGTTTGTGTCAGCAGGACAGTTAGACTTTTACTCAAGGTTACCAATATCTGTCTGGTAATATATTGGAAACAATGTTTCCTTTATTAGGGCTGATAGCATGGTAAACTTTTAGCTTTTAGCTCAGGAGTAAACCTTTAACCTGGCCTAATCTCTTAGCTAATGACAGCTGGGTTATTGTTTCAGGACAAGGGAGATGAGCTAAGGGCTGTTGACCAAGATGCTTTAATGCCAAGCAAGGGGCCTAAATTTTGAACTATCTGCTTTTCTCTTTCTAGTCTTGCAGTGTTCTGCAAGACAGGAATATCAGAGCTGCTGTTTTTGGTGCTCCTCCCTTTAGCAGAGAACATAGCCTGGACTTAAAAAGTTTGAGGCTCATC